TAAACATTTTAGTGACAACCAAATCTTTTTTGAACAAATAATGGCATATCACCATATACTTTTCACACCATCTGTTCTAAAACAATTGTGCCGCATTGAAATGAAGAGTTATTGTGATAAAAATCCTAAGCAGTTTGAGGGGAATTTTATACAATATTAACAGGGTTATCATTCAGGCAGTGTGGGTAACTACTTGATAAATATGTGTAAGAAATAAAATAGCAATTATAGCAATTAATAGCTATGGGGAAAATGCAAAATAAGGTCTATGTTCTGGCAAAACACCAAAAGATTATATAGATAATTAATTTTAAATGTAGATAGTATTTTTCACCCATAGCAAGTTCTAAACTGGTATAAACAGTCTCAGGGGAATGCCTATTCTGTATGGGGTAGGGKAAAAACAGAGCAGCTCTTTCTTGCTCTGTAGCAATACTGCACTACAGAGACCTTTGGACAGGAAGGGAAGAAAGGGAAAAAACACCTTTGGATAGGAAGGGAAGAACACCTTTTCTCTGTGGAGAAACAAGTGGAGAGCTTGAGGGGGCAGGATATTTTTTCCCAGACTGATTCTGGGCCAGGCCATCAGCTTTAAGACCTTTGCTCTCACAAATGTGACAGGAATTATCTGAAATTAYCATAGACAGCAAGGATATGTCTTTCTTTGCAAGAATACTGTGTCAGCCACAGAGTTTCTGCAAATGTGAGTTGCACCCAAGAATCTGCAGGATTTGGAGAAAAGGGTCCCGGATGGCTGCAGTCCTACTACCTCACAGTTCTCTGATTTTCTTTGAGAAGAAGCTGTTCAATTAATGTACCAACACGGGCTACTGAGTGCTGAAAACACATGTTGTGAAAGAAGGRTCACAAAGCAGCCCCACCACGTGGTGCAGAAGTACTGAACASCACCACCCATCCCTTGGGTCAGAGCAAACAGGTTGTAGATGTGCCTGTGAATATCAAACTCGCTTCAAACAGCAGGGAACAGACAATCTACTGTTTGAAATAAAAATGTGAGCTTACAAATCACCCACTCTTGAGGGACTTGCCCCATCAGATCCCAAGTCAGCAGGCAATCTAGTTTTCACTTTGATGTTTCTTACAGTGTTGAACTGGCTTTCTTTCAAAATCCAATTCATTTCATCTCTGCCTGGTTTTGAAACACCCCTCCAAGACCTTTCCTGCCCAARAGGTGTTGGCAAAGTTACTATGGCCATATAATAGTTTAGATCCTCTGTTGACTGGGCTGGCTGGGTTTGGGTCTGGGTTTTTCTTTCACATTTTGTGGGGAGGTCTTMTTATTTATTTAAGTAATTTCGTTGCTTTAATTACATTTCATTTTACATTGGCCTTAGTACCTTGCCACTGAGAACCAAAATCCCCTCACTGCTATGGTTTACTCACCATTGTTTGGTATCACACCATTTACCAAACTTTCCACACAGCAATGAACAATAGCATTGTGGGCCACTAAAATACAGTATCTACTCCCAACAGAACTCTTGACAACTTTGCTGAAACCGATCTTAATATTATTGATCTAGGAAAAACCATTTTGATTCTCACCTGACCAGCCAAATCAGGAGAGGACAGGTTTCCAAGAAGGTATCTTCCTATTGGGTACAGCCAGAATGTAGCCAATATAAAGAWCACATGGGTTTTACTTGAGAATGCCTTTCCTTGTGTGATTTATGGTAGTCCTATAGTATTTTATCACTCTTGCTCTAAGTTAGCTGATTTTTKATAAGGTTCTTTAAAAAGCTTAAATATGAAAAAGGAAATGAATTCCTCATTTTTAGAGTTTTCAATCTACAGGTATTTAATATGTAAAATCTTTAATGCTAGTAGCATACCACTATGCTAACTGCATTATTGGGAAGTTGTGTTCTCACTTTTGAAGCTATCATTTTATAACAYCACACATTCTTCTAAATTTCCACATGCTTTTTAAAATTTATTTTAAAAGAATAAGGTAACKCTATGCTGTACTAACACATCAGTGCTAATTTCTTAATTGAACATTATCTGTCACATGAGCCAGTCACCCATGAGGGTTCATTTTAATGTGAGAACTATTATGTGGGAGTATTTCACACAGGACGGATTCCCTGCCTAATTTCACTATAAAAAAAAAAAAAAAAAAAAAAAAAAAAAAAAAAAAAAAAAAAAAAAAAAAAAAAAAAAAAAAAAAAAAAAAAAAAAAAAAAAAAAAGGAAGTTACATGTATAGACATGCAAAGCCTGTGTTTTGAAGGTGCTTGACTGTGTGTCAAGAAAAATGACAAAATAAAAATTCTTATGGTTGATATTAGCCTTGTCAACATGATATATGCCTCTTACAGGCATTTTAATCTCTATTTATTCTGATGTGGTCATGGTGGAAAACTAATACAAAATATAGAATCATGGCAATTAAATTAATTCCTCTACTTGCAGTTACAAAACTTTGGATATCTGTATTTTAGAGCTACAACTGAATGCCATATAAAGTTTTCAATCTATAAAAATCATYGTGCATTTTGACACTGACCATTTGCCACACAGCAAATATTTCACTGATATAATTTATGTGGCTTCAAAAGGTAGAAAGAGGTAGAAAGAATTATCAGTAGGGTGCGTACTTTTTTTCTTYGTTGTTGAAATGCTACAGAATCAGACATTTTTATATTCTACCTTAAGGAGAAACTTGTAATAATTTTTAAATTTTGGGAATGGATGGAATTTGGATGGAGGCCTTAACTTTCAAGAACATCTGGGCATTTATAGACCAGATTCTGGAAAAGAAAGTTGGCTCATCTTGACAAGTATCAACTCTCCTCTCCAGACAGCCTTAATCTCTACTTGCAGAACTATAACTTTCATAAGAAGGAAGATGAAGGCCAAAGAGCAGAGAACAATGTTCTAGCTGTAAGATTCAATATCCCTTAAAAGCATCCTCTCAAGGGAGGGTGCAAAAAACCCACTGCTTGAGTCATCTAAATCAAAACTGGACAAAACTTCAGAGAGTATGTAGTACAGAGCAGTTTTGGATGAGTGGGGGCTGGACAAGTTGATTTAACAAATGATTCCCATTCCTAGCTCCTGTGGTTTTGCAGCAACTTTTAAAGAATGCAAAACACACAGAGCTTCCAAAATGGTTGAATACCAATCTTAGGTCTTTTATCTGAAGCCATWTTCTGTAGGTCTTGTTTAAATTATGTCATAAACTAGGGCTAGGCACAGCAGATACATTACAGGATTATGATCCACAATGGGACTCTACCTCAAAATGTTATTGTCAAACACTTTCAGTTGTGTTCCAGTTCTTCCACTAACAAAATTGTGTAATTTAATTGTAAATTTTTACTATAACTAATACATCATCATTATTTTCTTTTGTATTTTGATGATTTATTTAGTCTTCCTCCCCCCAAATTACAAGGCAGTCAGTGCATAGAATTATTGAATTAAAGGGCAAAATAAAAACCTACCTTTTAGCTACATCAGATACATCCGATTCTGCACTGGTTTTGTTCTGGAGCATTTGTGTTGAGTTGTAGTGGCAATAAAATGTGGGGATTTGTTCACCTCTGATCAAAGGTAGTTTCGAGCCAATATCAGTACACAAGAAAAAACCCCATAATTTGTAAGTAAAAGCTAGAGAATATCTACCC